ATGGATACTATTTTATCCCAAGATTCTTACGATTTTGTTGTTAAATATACTTTCTATCATAAAGAGGTAGTAATAATATATGGGAATTGATTTAGATTCATCTTCACCAGTTAAATAAAAGTGGGTGCTGGAGAGCTTGGGAGTCTAAGCACCTGCCTGGTGAGCTAAAGGACCCAGGTTCAATCCTTGGTTCTGCATGCCTTGCTAGCTACCAAAAAAAAGGCGTGGTGGTACATACCTGTAATCCTAGCACTGGGGAGGCTGAGACAGGAGGATCACTACAAGTCTGAGTGAGACCCTGTGCCAATAAATAAATAAATAAATAAATGTTAAAAAAGTAGGATGTTGGAGTCTAGAGTATGACTCCCAATATTTTGAAAAAAAAATGTATACTGGTTCATGAAATTCAAGTCTGGTAAAACCATAGCAAGAGTTGAAGAAGAGCAGAGGGGCATGGCAGAAAGAACTAGGGATGGGAAACACCCTTTAGTCATATGTGGTCACTAGTTGCAAAGTCTTCAGTGTCTCTTTTCCCTGTTGGGGCTCCTGTACCCAGCTTACTTTTTAGGGAATTGTACAGATGATTGCTTAGATCCTCTGAGCTTCAGCTTTCTCAGTAACTCTGATTGCATAGTGGGCTGCTAGAAAATAGTCAGGATTTGGATTACAGAGTCAATGTGTCCCATTTATTCATGGAGAAACACAGTGGAGACAGCTTAAGGGAATCTGAAAACAGAACAACCACAAAAGCAGCCCAACAGCTGTTTCATAGAGGGTGAGACCGCCCCTTCATGACATGTACTATGGTATGTCTTAATGCCTGGGACACCAACAGGAAAGTGCTATCTTAAGGACCATTGGCTTAGTCACATTGAGTGCACCAAAAACACAGTGAACATCTGCTATCGAAAAAAATTCTCTGTCATTCTTTCCTTTATATTTTATCATAGAAGAAAATCCTTAGGATATATATATATATATTGCTTGGTCCATTAAGCTCACAGTGCCATTCTGAAGAAGTTCTCAAATTGCTTCCTCAGTGCATTAGCAGTATGATAAAATGATTGACAGTTTAGCAGTCTCCCTCCCTGGTTTGCACTGGAAACTCAGTATTTGGTAGGTAAATGTTAATAAAGCATGTACTTGCATTGTGATTTTGCCCTATTATAAACACAACTAGTAATCTCTCTCTCTCTCTCTCTCTCTCTCTCTCTCTCTCTCTCTCTCTCTCTCTCTTTAGAAAAGCTAAATATACTGAGCAGTGGTGCTCTTGGTATGGCTACTGTACAATCTACTCTGTGTTTCTGGAATTGTCAAAACAAACTTAACTGCTCTCAGGAACTCTGATCCAATATCACTGTCAAAATGTTTTACAACAATTTGGCCAAATGTTTGTGGGACAGCTGTGCTACTAGTCTGCCTGAGTCATTTTCCTTCTTTCCTTTTGGCGCAATCCTGTGATTCATCATTCTGCTTTTAGAATATTTACCTATTTTTAAAGCCAGTCAAAGAAGGCAGTCACTATTTGAAAGTAAACACCCCACACAACAACGTGGTGCAGCTCTGTAGGCAGCTTCACAAGCCCTGAAGTTTCTGGCAGGCAGTGATGCCAGCTAAACCAGATGGCACCGAGCAGTGAAACGCGGGGCTCACTCCAGACTTGGTAGTCTGGTTACATCTGTCTTTGCTTTTCTCATTTCCACTGCCATTTCCTGCTTGAGTTAATCCAGCTGGATCTGTTCTTTAACAAAAATCTTACTCTCCATTTGCTTATCTTTAAAACCTCTAGTATGTGTTTATTTTATGTCAATTAGGTTTTTATTCCAATTTGAGCGATTCAATCTTAAATTTTCGTTTATCAACAGTGTAATCATCGTGGTCACATATAATGTTCCTTGGCATAGTGTGACTAGAAATAATGAATAGATTTCTATCGTGAGCCTCATTAATTCTGGGTCATACCGATAATTGTTATTTACACTTCCATAGTAAATCAAATGGATACATCCCTGCCCCCTTTTTCTAATTAAGCAGGAAGGAGTGTGACTTCACAGAGGACAAGGTGGATTAAGTCTCAGGAAGCACGGAGTTCCATTCCTGGGTGTCTTCTAGAATTCTGGAATGCCCTGTCTGCACTTGTACTTAACAGAGTGGTCTCTCCTTCCAGGAAGTGCCTGCCTGCCTAATCATCGGGGCTGGGATGCCAGGGCATAATATGTTCCCATTTACCTGTGCCAAATCTTTCTGGTCTTGAACCCAATGAACTAAAATAGTCATGATGTCTAGGTTTTTGAAATTGTACCGAAATAAATTAAATGTACCTGAGGCCTAAACCCAAATTGATAGAGTGTCAATTTTATAATGAAGGCTATCCCTATACTGGGTCAGAAGCCACAAGTGAGTAGTTTTGCTTTTGTTTGTTTTTTTTTTTTTTTTGCAAAGAATTTAAAAGGCCACAGTGATTGACTAGAGATTGTCTCTTCTGATCTGAGGAGAAAGCATGTGTTCAGGGGGCCTGGGGATTAAGCCTTCTGCGAAACAAATGCTGAGAGGCATCAGCAGTCAGTGGGTAACCACCTGGAGGCACAGACACAAGTACAAAATGGATTCAAATTGTCCTTGTTGTAAACCACGTTAGGGTCAGGGCATAAGTGCCTGCCTAGCAAGCGCAAGGTCCTGAGTTTGATCCCTGGTTTTAAAAAACAATCATGCATTAGATCACTTTTAAATGAGGGTATTATTAAAAAGGTACGAAATGCCATTAAATGACAAGACTCTTAAGGTGTTTGGCAGAGATTAACACTGTCCTTGTTTAAATGATCTTTTTGTTAATATTCTGTTTTAAAAGATATATAGACCCTAAGAACCCACAAGTGCCTCTATACTCCATTTTATTTTGTCCTATTAGTGAGTAGGAGAGAATGTGGTTGCCTCTCCATAGCTGTAAGATCTGCACCTGCAAATTCAACACCTGAAAAAAGCCTTGTGTCTGAGGTAAAAATATATGCAATCTTTTTCTTATCATCATTTCTTATTTATGTATTCATTCATTTATTTATTTGGTGCAGGGTCTTGCTACACAGCTCAGACTTATAGTGATCCTCCTGTCTCAGCCTGCCCAGCACTGAGATGATGCCTGATTTTGGTAGCCCACAAGCTCACCCTGGGTTCCGGGGCCAGCACAGCATGAAATACCAGGGGCCAATCTGGGTCTTTGTGCTTGCCAGGCAGGTGCTTAGACTCCCAAGCTACCTCACCAGCCATTGTCATCATTTCTTACACAATATAATCAAGCATTTACTCTTAGCAATTATATTGTATCAGAAGTGATCCAACCATGATTTCAAATGTATTGAGGGATGTACTCAAGTTAAATGCAAATACTTCTCTATTTTAGGTAAGGGAATGGAGCATTCTTACAGTTTGGGATTTTGGAGGTTCCTGAGACCACTCCCCTAAGGACACAAAAGCAGCACTATTCTTTTTTAATTTTTTTTTATTTTTTAAAAAGAGTACAAAATAGTATTAAAACAGAAAAATTAGAAGTGATACAGAACTTCACTTAACAAAATAATATGAATTTCACACTATTTGTTGTAATGAATAGTGTCTTCCAACTAGTTGTTCATATTATCAGATATAGGCATTCAAAATTGGGAGAACAAAGAAAAAACTAAAGAAATATATAAGACATTAAGAAGAGTAAAAGGTCAAAGAATTGAAAAAAGGAGACAAAACAAATTGTCCAGACCATCCTAAATACATAGGTAAATCTCCTTCCCCTACTACCTCCCCAGTCCTTCTCAATTAGTTAATTCCTTCCCGTTGAATAAATTCATTCCCTTCTCCAAGAATCCATTGTATCCTTCAGATTTTATTTTCTCTTTTAGGTTCTCACACTAAGGAGACAATACAATGTTTGCACATATGGGTCTGATTTATTTCACTTAATAGTGTAGTTTCTAGTTGAATTCATTTACCAATAAAAGCCTCAAATTTATCCTCATTTAAAGCTGAATAATATTCCATTGTGTAAAAATACCGCACCTTCTTTATCTATTCCTCAGATGATGGGCATTTGGGTTATTTCCAAAATTTACCTATGACAAATGAGCACGACTGTTGTTTCTTCACTGAATGTGGTATTTGTCACTTCTTTTAATTAAAAAGGAACTGAAATCAGTTGATAAGTATAAATATATTTATGTTAGTGAGAGTATAAAAACCATTATTTTTCATTGCTTATCATAATTTGAAAATTGCTTTGGATTTAAACTTATTCTTCCTGTGTGTTCTCTGTTATATTCTCAGAGTCAAGTACCATGGCAGTGATTGGAAACAAATGGCCCTTCATAGCCCAAGTTGATCCAGAGCTGTGGGCTTTGGGCACTAGGGCTGTGCTGAGCACCAGAGCTGTGTTGCCAATCTATTCCTTGAGATAGCTGGATAGCTGCCTGCTCCCTGCTGCAACCCAGAAAGGGTGCCTAGAGAGCTGCCTGTTAGTGGCAGTTTGTGGTCAGAGCAGAGGATGAAATCATCACAGCCTGTGACACTTGTCGTCATTCAGAGAAGAACTAATCCTTCTATTTTTCGCTAACATGTTCTTTTGGGCTGTGGAGGTTGTTCTGGCCACCTCATTAGCACCTTGTTAAAACACTTTCCTGCAGATCATATTTTTTGTTTTTGGCTAATGTGGCTGCATTGAAACACTAGTAGTCCTTCTTAGTTGGAGAGTTACCAGACCGGACATTTGAGGAGTCCATTTTTGTGTTTTTTTTAAATTCTGCTCAGACCAGCTACATTCTTCACACTGTTGTATATATAGCTAATCAACAAGATTGTCTTTTCCATACTATCTGTCCCCAGCTGAAGTAATGAAAATAACAAAAACCTATTTGCACAGGTAGTTTCACTATGTAGGTGTCAGGCTGGTCCTGCAGGGTAGCTTTCATGAGACAAAGGTCTCTTTAGTGAATAATCATTTTATTTTTGTATTTTAGATGATACAACTTCTGAAGACTCCATTCCTTTGGTCTTTCCAGAATTAGACCAGCAACTACAGGTAAGGATTTTTCTCAAACCTTTCTGCTTTTTTCTTCAGTGTCTCACAATATAGTGGGCAAGGAAGTAGCCTAACTCAACCAATACTTGGTGTTTCTAGTACTCCAAAGTCAGCCTGAAGTCATCATGAACGTTCCTGTTTACCTAACTATGACACCAGTACACAAAACACCAGTAGTATCAGCCAGCTGTAGACCCAGGCATTCAGGAACCAGGGAGAGGGTGGTCCTTGCTGTCATTTGCAGTGGATATCTGTGGGCCATTGGATTTTGGCTTTGTTTTGGGTTAATGATTTAATGATAAAAGCTCTGCAGAGACAACTTGTTATGTTTGTCCAGAATAGAATTACTCCTTTCGTACTATCTGCCTTTCCTAGTCCTTTGACCATTTTTAATGGAATTATTGGGAGTTCATTGTTGTGTTTTTTTCTCACACAAATGGGATTATCATTTATTTTTGTTTTGATAATTGTACATGCTTTCAGTGTATAGTGATTACATTCATCGTGGGGAGCTGGTATACATGTGTTTCATGTCTTAATATTTTTAGTTCCCCTTTTTCTCTCCTCTCATTCCCAATGTCCATCTCTTGGTCTTTTCTGATTCACAAAAGATCTACCTCCTCAGTTCTGATGATCCATCTTTTATTTTCCTCTTTCAGTATGAATACCTCGGGCTTCTTAGATAAGAGAGACCATGCAGTGTATAAGCTTATGTGTCTGGCTTGTGTTTTCTAGAAAAACTTTTCTAGTAGAACTTTTTGTTTTTTAGAACTCTTGAGGGGACTGGGGAGGTGGCTCAGTAGAATAAATGCTTCTCTGGCAAGTACAAGGGCCTGAGTTCAATCCCCAGTTCTGAAAACAAACAAACAAACAAACAAACAAACAAACAAACCACAAAAAACAAACAAACAAACAAACAAAAAACCCTCTTGAATTCTATACATAGATGCTTCACTTGGTTGTCATTTTTCCCTTCTAAATACTGATTTGGAAAGCCCTTAGGAAGAATCTGCAATTTTTAGTTTCCAGTAGGTCATGATATGTTGTGTATAGTTTAAGTGTCCCTTATACAAAATGCATAGGATAAGAAATATTTAAGATTTTTATGGATTTTGATCATTTTTGTATATAATGTAATATTTTGGTTATGATTTTTGGGTGATGATTTTTAAACATAAAATTCATTCATGTTTCACATGTACCTCATGTACATAGCATATAGATATTTATTTATTTATTTATTTATTTAATTGCTTTGGAGTATTGAGGATTAAATCCAGGGCCTTGGTACTGCGTTATATCCCCCACTTTTTAATATTTTTTTATTCTGAGACGTGATCTCATTAAGTCACTAAGTCGCTCAAGTCACACTTGAATTTGAGATCCTCCTGCCTCATTCTTCCATAGTGCTGGGTTTATAGGTCTGTACCACCTCACTGGCTTTTGAAGGAATTATATACAACATTGTTAGTGTGCCTGTGTTTTGACTACAACCCATGACAGAAGTTAAAAGTTGAATTTTCTACTTGTAGTATCATATCAACAACCACAGAGGTTTGGATTCTGGAACATTTTGGAGTTTTGTGTTAGAAAGGCTTAAACTTTATTTGCAGACCAAAATTAGAGAAGAAGGAGGGCCACAAGGAAAGCCAACATTTTGGCCCTAGCCTTCCAAGGTCAATCAAGACTCAGGACATATAAGAACTTGTACTGTAATGTCATGTAACTCGGTAGTGTCCCAAATTTTCTGATCAAGGAGATTATGGGGCCAAAGAGGAAAGTGATCAATGATATAGAGTGTGCCTAAGGAGAGTCACATGGAGAGAAAACATTCTCTCATGTTTTCACAGAGAGCACATTGGCCAAGAAATGGCTGTGACTCATCCACATGGCTGGCACAGACAAAGGTTCTACAATCTGAGGTCCAGGATCTCAGGATAAATCCTGAGGGGATTTCACTGTCCTTATAAAACCCAAAAGCTGCAACTCTTTTTGAATAAGTCTTGCTTTACCTTGGTCTTAACCATCCAGCAGAAAAGTATAAAAATGAAGTATAAGAAGTAAAGCCATGCTGTTATGTTGAGCTATAGGGGACTCAGGCCAACAATTTCTGACATTGCCAGTTAAGCAGAAGACCCAATACTATTATGGACTACTGAACTCTTTTAGAATATTTTGCTGAGTTAACACACCTATAATATTTAAATGTTGGAACTTAACAAAGAAAGTGGATACAGATGAATGTGCATTTGGTATCTGTGTATTCAAAGTGGTTAGGATAGATATATAGTTACAGTCTCTTAATGAATAGAGGGATTTGTTCTAATGGTGTTTGTAAATAGGATATCAAGTCCACATCTTGTACAGCAATTAACCAGTAGGAAGAATGCATGCAATGTGTTAATTATTGAAACTGTCCTACAAAGTTGGTTTGAAACTGTCTCATTGCTATTTGTTTCTCAATAAAATTATGGAAAAAATATATAAAAAGAAAGGCTTAAACTTTATCCTATACCCAATAGCTTTTCTTAATTTGGGTCTGCTTGGTGTTCTAGTTATTGAATGTGGGAGCCCTGTTGCTGGATAGCTCTTGAGGAAGAACCAAGAATGAGTTCACCTTGTGCAAATGAAGATGGCGCTCCTTTTAGTTTGTCTCAGTTCTTATCTCAGGCCAGGTGTACCAAGTTCAAAGCCTGGAGGCAACTAGGTCAGGTTGGAAGGGCTGATGTCCCATTTCTGGGTGGTTCATAAAAACCACTGGGGAGCAACTCAAGGGTGACCTGGGCTCTCGGAGGAGCCCTTATTTTCACCTGCGCAGCAATTCTGGGCATTGCCACGGCCCTTCACCCTCAAGCTGCTCTATAGAGCACTGTTAGCTCTGTAGGTGGCACTGAAGGTGGTGTAGGGCATGGGAAGGTTATAGCAATTACCACACAGCTGCCCACTGACAGTTTTGTAGTCCTCTAAAATTTCCTTTGCATCTATGAATCAGCTGATTTTCTATCCCTCATGCAGGGTCTTTGACTCAAGTGTCCCCATTCCTGACATCTACCTGCTCTTTCTCTTCTCCACCAGTGAGTCTTCTCAGCACAGAAGGCTGTGTAGCCCAGCCCCTATTGTTTCTCCCTGAAGGCTCACTCTGTACATGTTCCCTGCTTTGCTTCTGTCCTCACACAGGGGCTGTCTGAGTGCTGCTGGTGGCATAAAATACTATTGTCCCTCTCACTCATTGCTTTTCCCTCTTGTGTTGTTACCTCAAAGATATTTTATTATCATGAAAATAAGATGTAAATGAGGAGGAGTAGACATGTTTTGAAAATATGGCAGAAAACGTATTTGTGTTCTTGTTCCCTCATCAAATTACAGACCCTGAATTCCCCTTTTTCATATTAGAATAAAACATTTTTTTTTCCTTTGGGAACTTTAGTGGTTTTCCCTGGCTTGTGGATCATCTGCAGAGGGTTCACAGCACCCTGAACAGTTACCCAGATAATTTTTCTGTTGAAGCATCTCTGGGTCCATTTGAATTTTATAGCTTTAATTTTATCTGACATATATTGGAAATTAAATATATTTAATTATCTTACTCTAACAAGGCTATTTCATCTTTATTGATCTTTAATGAGGCAGACAGTTGAGAGGGTAGTTTCTAGCTCAGGGGTTTTGATTATTTCTCCACTCCCCTTCAGATATGGTACTGCTCCATCTCTTTCTGAACAGAGAGAACATTACCGACCCTGCAACTAAACACATTTAAGTAAATCCTTGTTTATTGAGTGAAGCATAGGGTTGAGTGTGTTACATGCATTGGTCATCTGTCAAGACACTGGATTAGCCTTGCTTCTGTCCAGAGCTTTTGCTGTTAACCTTTAGTTTACATTACAGGACATAAATGACTAAAAACAGCAAGGTAGTAAGGACCAGGAGGGGAAAGCTAGCATAGAAAATTATATCAAAAAAGCAAATTCAAAGTTCCATGCTTAGCATAAAACACATACACTGGAACCATTTGGTAGCTGGGTGTATTAAAAGCAATGAAAATGCTTTGTATACAAAGGAAATATAATCCAGTACATGGAGCAGACTATCTTTATAGTATAGTCAATCTCATGTACTTCCATCATAATAATGGCTCGTGGAATATTTTACTGACTATCATAATCCACTATGGAAGAATGAAGCTGGATTACAAAGGTATATGAAATGCCTTATGGGTGGTCACATTTGTTTGAGGATGAACTGACTCTTGATTACCTCTACTGAAGCCTTTTTACTTGATGAGAGAAAAAGATGATGCCAGATTTTTATTGCCAGGTCTGCTCTCTGCAAACCTTTCGAGTAGACAAGGGATGTTTTCCTAGGTATGATCTCACTTGATGCGTGCAATAATTATATAAGCTCACCTTAATGCTTCCCCTTTACAGATCAGAATTTTGAGCTTACATTTGGTCTAAACAAATTTGGTATTCTCCTCTTTTCCTTCACACTATTTTGGGGACAGAATGGGCTGCTTAAATTATTTTGAAAGGTGCAGATATTTTTGCATTTGATTTCCATGTTGCCATGATATAGTTCTAGAACAACCTTGTAAAATTTGTTCTGACTTTCTGGTATCCATTGCACATTCTTTGGTAATTTATAAAGTGCAGCTATAAAATATTTGGTAGATATTTTATCACCGATTTGACCCCCAAGATTTTTCTGTTGCTTTGCCAAGAATGTGGACATGTTTGAGCATGTAATTCATGATGCTTCTATTTTCATAAAAGCCAAAAACAGCCTCACGCAAGAATAGCAGTGACAAACATTTCTCTTGATGTCTCTATTAATGCAAATTGTTGGACAAGAGACCTTAGGGTAAGATAGGTGTTAAAATGAATGTCTCTTTATAATGTTCATGAGGGCCATGCATGGGCAGGTGGAAGGTTAATTTTATTTCATGCAGATTTATTTCTTAGGACTAGCTTTTTAAATTCCCCATGCCCACTGGGGGCAGTGTG